CCCGCCACCTTAGGTGTACGTGGCTGGCGCCTTAGCCGGTTGAGCTATAGGTGCCGAGCCTATTTTCTGTTTTAATGACAGCCTCAAATCATGGGAGAAAATGATAATTGACATTAACTACAGAGGGACAAGGAGGAGTGAGAAGGAGGATTATAGAAGGTAAGGAATGTAAATAAGGTCGATCAATCCAATATGTAATATTATATTATTAATAATTATATTATATTATAACTTTATAGTTATCCTTAGAAATTCTTGGAGCTGGGATAAGATTAAAAAATCATCCAACCTAATTCTATGGATATATAATTAAATTAATTAAATCTCAGATTAGTGAATTGACTTGTCAAAAGTTACACATTAGATTAGTCGCAGAGGTTAAATGTTTTATTAATTATCTAGCAATACTAGCCCACTTTCTCCTAGCCCAGTCCTTTGAGTTCATTTCAAAGGTCCACTAAGTGATTTTTAAATTTTTTTTTTGCCAGTGTCTGATAGTAGAGATCAGACAACAAACATGCAGAAAATTTTTATGAATATAAAAACGCAAGCTAAAGAGAATAATACATAAATAAACATGAACATTTTACAAGGTCCAGGAAATCAAAGTCGTGCATGATTTAGCTACAGTCACCTCCTGATTATCCATCAAAATGGAAGTAATTCCAGCCTAGATAACATGTAACACTGAGCTGAGTACTTACTGTGTGTCACACTCCCTGTTAAGCATCTTACATAAGCTATTTCATTGAATCTTCACAACTACGCTATGAGATAAAAGCTGCACAGAGAAGTTTAAGTAACTTGCCCAACAGCACAGCTGGTAGTAGAAGATATAGAGTTCAATTCCAAGTCTCCTGATTGCAAATCTAACAGTCTGTCATGCCACTTTTCTCATGTTCTGTTGCAGGGTGTCCAACACATTACCCACACTGATATTTTTCACTAAATGCAATAAGACTCTAAGTCCTTGAGTCTCAAGAAAGCAACTCACAACCAACAGTGTCCACTAATCTTAAGCTTCTCTCCTCAAAACTCATTGTCAATGGGGAAAACAAAAGGCAAATGTGACTGGCATCATGGAGAATGCACAGACTGATCTCTGTAGGCAAACAATAATAAACAGCCTGTATATTTCAAAGTACTATTACGTCCTTTATAGTCCTAGGCTTAGCATATAATAAATCCTCAATAAATGTCTGCTGAGGAACTGCATAAATGAGAACAAAATAGGAGTCAAATGAACTGAAAGTAGGCTAGTTGCAGTATTAGATATGGATAATCAAGAGTTGACTGTGGGTCACATATTTACCAATCATAAAAACAATACAAATTCTTTCCTCCACATTCAATTTGCTTCTGTATGTACACATCCATTAAAAAAAAATACACACACACTCAAACAAGCACATTTCCTAAGGAGGCTGGACAGTTTCAAAACTTAAAATGTAAGCAAGCATAGTAATACAAGTTATCATGCAAACCATGAAAAACATAGTATACAGTTCAGCCCTAAAAGAACTACCTTTTAGGAAGAATAAAGAATCAGCCAGAAAAGGGCCTGCAAGAAACCAAGACAAAGGCTAAAAGGAGAAAGAAGCAAACATATTGTCACCTGGAGAACTTAGAGAATTAAGGTGTAATAATGTAAGTTGCTTTTCACTGACAACTTACTGTAGGAAGTCATGGCTATTAGTACTTGTGTTATTCTTACATGGACACATTTTATCATCACTTGAACTATGAGTTATACATCAACTACCTTCCATTACTTACCTTGATTCATTTCTCCAATAATTATTTTTACATTCATATGTCACTAAATCCTCACAACTCTGTAAGGCTAGCAGGACAGGTAAATCATCCTCATTTTAAAATTAATAAACTATTATAGCTCAGGGGGGGCATGAAAAAAATTACAGCTCAGAGGGCCATAAAAAACAAAATAAAAATAAGGAAAATAAAGGACAAGAATTAAATAACCTGCAAAAGTAGAAAGTAAATTCAGTTAATACTTGTTGGTGTCACAGGGAGACTACTATGGTTTAAATGGCCACCAAAAGACTTCAATGCTACTTTACTTTTATACCTTAATTGGCCTACTGCATGAGCAACTACTTTATAAAACTGGAATATGTCATATAATTATAAATTATATCATTATCAGATAGCCTGAAAAAGATAATGAAACATGTTTTTCAAATGTAAGGTCTTAGAATAAGAAACAGACTCCTTTTTTTAAACATGATAGTCCTTTGCAATAATAGAAAAACAGGCAAAACAATATGAACTGGCAATTTAAAGAAGAAATACAAAATAGCTAGTAAATACAATCACAATACTCTTCAACAACTATAGGAACTTGAAATTAAAACAATAATAAGATTCCACTTTTTTCTATCATTTGTACAAATTTCAAAATAACAATACCAAGTTGGAAACTGGACCCTTTTACTCACTGCTGTGGAAATATAAATAGGTTATAAGCTTGCTGAAGTATGCATTAACATTTATGAAAATTTTAAATGCAAATTACACACCAATTCTACTTATAGTGATTTATGATAAAGAAATACTAGTATGAATGCACAAAGTATATACAAATAAACACACACAAAGAATTTTCTCTATAGTATAGTCTCGAATATAAAAATGCAGACGCAACCTAAATATCCATTAGGACTAGGCTAAATTATGGAGGATCCATTTAAAGGAACACAACACTGATTTTAAAAAGAACGAGAAAGACTTATACATACATACTTATATCTTTTTTAACATGGAGAACTATCTATCCATAGGCTGTTTTGTGAAAGATAAGCTATAGAATAATAATACACAGTCAACCTTCCATATCCATGGGTTCTACGTTAGCAGATCCAACCAACTGTGGATTGACAATATAGGTATTAAAAAAAAGGAATGGTTGCATCCTTTTTTGTCTGTACTAAACGTGTGCAGACCTTTTTTTCTTGTCATTATTCCCCAAATAATACAATTATTTATATAGCACTTAACTTTTATTAGTTATTATAAGTACTTTAGTGATGACCTCAAGTGTACAGAAGAATGTGCATAGGTTATATGCAAATACTACACTATTTTATATAAAGGACTTGAGTATCTGTGTAAGTCCTGGAACCTCACAGATACGGAGGGATGACTGTATATAGTAAGATTCCTTTTCTAAGAAAAATCACAAAAATATTCTAGGGTATAATGTGCTTAACTACACATATATTATGTAATGACATATATATGTATAAGCTTGGAAAACCAAAAGGATATATAACTAACATGGGGGGAATGGGGTAGACTTTCATTTCTACTGTATATACAATATTTACATTATATAAATTTTATATATAAACATTTTTAAGTGGTTTATGATAAAAATAACATAATGATACAGAGAAGAGCACAAAACAGTTACAGAAAATATGCAAATTAAAAACATTTATTTAAAGCACAAACACATCAACACTGTAAATAAGCAAAAGAGAAAACTAAGCATTTATGTTGGCCACTACAAAAGTTTTGAGATAGGCTTTGGTATGGTCCATAATTTCACTTGCAAGAAACACAGTTAACAGCATTCGTTCTGATACACCCATGCAAGTTTCAACTTCCTTAGCTTATCAGTGTTGCTGGGAGGGTTCCATTTGTTTCCCTCCACATTGATTTTACATTTCTTGACTTTTGTGTATGTCAAAATTTTCATAATGACCTACGTATAACAATTCTTTTTTTTTTTTTTTTTTTTTTTGAGACAGAGCCTCAAGCTGTCCCCCTGGGTAGAGTGCCGTGGCATTACAGCTCATAGCAACCTCCAACTCCTGGGCTCAAGCGAGTCTCCTGCCTCTGCCTCCCAAGTAGCTGGGACCACAGGCGCCCGCCACAATGCCCGGCTATTTTTTGGTTGCAGCCATTATTGTTGTTTGGCGGGTCCGGGCTGGGGATTCGAACCCGCCACCTTAGGTGTACGTGGCTGGCGCCTTAGCCGGTTGAGCTATAGGCGCCGAGCCCGTATAACAATTCTTAATTGCAGGACAGTACAAAGTCTTAAGACATAACATTTTGTCAAGGTTTTCAGAGGGCTGATTAATATACACCATGCATGGAATCAGCACACAGAAATTATAAAGTTTTTTTATCTTAGTAATAAACAATAGACTTTATGTTCCAAAAAGGAACTGTAACCCAGGAAAACTTATTAAATGTTTACAAATGTCACATGATATCACAGTAAGTAATGTTTTTTATTTTTGTATTTTAAGCATGAACATTATGTGATGGCACAAAAAGTTCACTGTTTAAATAAAATTGATCATTATGTAATTATCCACTGGTTTCATTACTCTTCCATCCTTTCTACTTTATTTTTTAAATTTTGTTTCTTTTTCACAGATAGTATCTCACTATATTGCCCAGGCTGGTCTTCAACTTCTCAGTTCCAGCAATCCTCCTGCCTCATTCCCAAGCAGCTGGGACTATAGTGCTTGCTACTGTACCTGGCTATCTATTCTACTTTATTATGGAATGGAGAGCAGTAGACATATATATAATTGAAAACTACTAACAATCATCTCATTATTAACATCATTACTGCCTTTAGAATGCAGTTGAGATATTTGAGCACTATCTTCAAATAAGAGGCCATAAAAGAGCCCACAAATTTTTGAACATTTGAATAACATTGCTGGGAAAGTTTCCCTGTCTTTCCATCATGTTCCCATGGTATAAATTACCTTTTTTCTCAGGCAAAGAAATGTTCCAAAGGAGGCAGTTAAGAATCATATTTCAAATAACAATTTCCTTCCCCACACAAAAGAGGGAACATTCTTTTCTCCTTGCTAAAAAAAGTAAGTGTTTAGACAGAATTCTTGTTATCAAACTAATAATTAGAGAACTAAAAATAGACCTGCCATTTGATCCTATAATTCCTCTATTAGGTATATATCCAGAAGACCAAAAATCACACTACAATAAAGATACTTGTATCAGAATGTTCATTGCAGCCCAATTCATAACTGCTAGGTCATGGAAGAAGCCCAAGAGCCCATCGATCCATGAATGGATCAATAAATTGTGGTATATGTACACCATGGAATACTATGCAGCCATTAAGAAAGATGGAGACTTTACCTCCTTCATGTTTACATGGATAGAGCTGGAAAATGTTCTTCTTAGCAAAGTATCTCAAGAATGGAAGAAAAAGTATCCAATGTACTCAGCCCTACTATGAAACTAATTCATAGCTTTCATAGGAAAGCTATAACCCAATTTTAGCCCAGGAATATGAGGAGAGGGGAGAGGGAGGGGAGGGGAGGGTGGAGGGTGGGTGGAGGGATGGTGACTGGTGGGATCATGCCTATGGTTCATCCTATAAGGGTACAAGTGAATCTCTCTAAATGTAGAATATAAATGTCTTAACACAGTAACTAAGAAAAAGACATGAAGGCTATGTTAACCAGCTAGATGAAAGTATTTCAAATTGTATATAGAAATAGTACACTGTACCCCATGATAGTATTAATGTACACTGCTATGATTTAATAAAAATAAAAACTAATAATTAAGAATGGCAGTCTTAAAAGGGAAATGTAAAAAAGGACAAATGTATCTATGATTCTATTACTTACATGATAAGTATAATTCCCTAAGTTATAATTAGGTCAGAACAAGGAATTATCAAAAGAAAAAAAGGGGGAGGATATCAGTAAGTATTTTTTCCTTCAGGGAAAATAGCCTAAGTTTACAGAATCATATTCTCTGGTTGAAAAAACTTATTAAGGTCAGTTAGTTAATCTCTTGTCTAATGTTTTTGATGTTTCCCCAAAGCCCTGAGCATATTTCAGGCCAGTCTCTACCTGTTTCAATGACAGCAAACACAAATCCAGAGTTACTACATTTTATCTCAGGACAGCTATTAGAATTTTCTATTTTATTACTAAATGCAAATGTGTTTTATTAGAATTCCATTTATCAGGTCTTTTTTAAAATCTCATGGAGTCTTAGTATATAACTCTAGTCCCTCTTCCATGAACTAGTCCTTTCAATGTCGGACAGCAATTTTCATAGCTCACTGAGTCTCCTCTTCTCCAGCCTGAACACTGCTGTCTTTTTGTCCATTCGTCATATAATATGTTCTCACAAGGTTTAAAGTCTCTGGATAAGTTACCTTCTAAACATATGTTACCTAGTTTGTCTAAATCTTTCTGTTTTAATATATTTTTCCTATTTCAACCATAAAGCCAAGTTAAACAAAATCTAAATATTGTAGATATACATAAAGGGCAATGTGAAAATGTTCTATACTTCCATTTCTCAGAAATATGAGATTGGTGTATATTTTGCCATGTTCCCCTAAATATACTACTAAGTATTTTTAGGTTTAAAATCACGCTTGATACACTGTTTTGCAGCTTGCTTTTTTTTCACATAATAAAATGTGTTAGACATCTTTTCACATAATAAAATGTGTTAGACATCCTTCCATGTCATGACATACAGTTCTATCCCATTTTATTAATAGCAACACTCTCTTCTACCATATGAAAGTCCACTGAGGAACACTTCAGTTATTTGCAATTTTTGCTAACATGAACAATACTGTAGTGAATATGCTTGTGTATATGTATGTTCATATATGTATTTATGGACATATGCACATGTTTGCAAAATCTTTACATATTCTTGCTACTGTTTCTATAGAATATATAATTAGAAATGGAATATCTGAGATACCAAGTATGTCCATTTAAAATTTGGATAATTTTGCCAAATTGCCTTCTAAAAATTTTTGCCAATGTACAATCTCACCTACAAAGTTGTTGTTTAAAAATATACAAACATCCAGGGGCAGTCTCTTCAGGTCCTCATAGGATGGGGTGTCACCTTCTCCTTTTGTTCTGAATACCATACTTCACATAGTATAACCCAAGATAGCATTAGTCTTTTGGGAAGCCTTATTATAGACAACACAATCAACTACAATTCATAAAGCATTTTGTACACATTTCTATTAAGCCACACCTTCCTAATTCTATGATTAGGAAGTTGCATTTTTAGATTGAAGGGCATTCTCTGTCCTCAGAGAATACAGCCAAAACAATGGAAAATAAGAACTTACCAATTCATTCTTTGTGTTCAGGTCACTCTCTAGCTCCTTACAGCTCTGTTTCTGTAACATAGCCTCCTCTTTTAATGATTTGTTCAGTTTATCTTGATTTTTAATTTCCTCAAGGAACCTTTCTTGTTTGCTCTTAAGCTCCTCAGTTTCCATTGTCTTCTTTTCCAAGTCTCTTTCTAGTCTTTCTACCTCTTCTGCCAATAAAAATTTAATAGTTTGTCATTATATTTCCTACTTGAAAACGTAAGAGTATTCCTCAAAACAACAGCAGAAAAGTCTAAGAATAATGTAAATATAGTTCACCTTGAAATTTATTTATATATGTATATGTATTTTTTTCTTGAGACAGTCTTTTTTCTTTAGCTGAAGATTTAGATTTTATTTTTTTTAACTTTTATTCAAATTAATATGAGGGTACAATATTTAAGTTACATTATTCTCACTTCCAGGGTAAAGTTCCATTTATTCTTGAGACAGTCTTATGTTATTGCTATGGTGTTGTCACAGCTCCCAGCAACCTCAAACTCTTACCTCAGCCTCCCAAGTAGCTGGTACTACAGGTGCCCACCACAATGCCCAACTATTTTTAGAGATGGGGTCTCGCTCTTACTCAGGCTGGTCTCCAATTCCTGCGCTCAAGCAATCCACCTACCTCAGCCTCCCAGAGTGCTAGGATTATAGGTGGGAGCCACCGTACCTGGCAAAACCAATTTATATTAAAAGGCAACGAGGCATTATTATCATTTGGCTGACATTTTAAAAAGATCATACTTTACTTCAAGTATTTAATCTAACTAGTCTGTTGATGAATGAAATTTCTTCCCCAGATCCCCTTTAAAAAATGTATTATTTTATTTTGTATTAGAAATTACATTTAAAGGATACTGCAAACATCTTTGCAAAACATTACATTATCCTAAAATCCATCAAAGGCTTCTTCTTAGGATAAGACCCAACAAGGCTCCCCTCTTCAGGCTCATCCTCAAGCATATTCAACTTCAGCTTTCCTAAAGTGATTCCAGTTCTTCAGATGTGTTGCCTCTTTTCACTTACAGGTTTTTATTCACATCTTTTTGCTTGGAACTGTCTTCCTCTACCTCCTATTGGACTATTTTATTTTACAACCTCCAGGTCTTAAATTTCAAATAACATTTTGAGAAGCTAGCCCTGACCATATCCTCTCCCAGGTCAATTGCTTCTCAGAAATGCTCCCCTGCCAACCTGAACTGCTATAGCCCTTATCACACAGGTAGTTATAAAACGTGATCAAATAGCTTGGCTGTCTGCCTTCTTTACTAAAGCATCACAAAAGCAGAAACTGTATCTGTCTGGCTCACCACAGGATCTTAACAGCCTAGCACATTAAAGGCTTCTAATTAATATCTGAAGTCATGAATGAACCATAAGTACTGTATCAAACATTTCCCCCAGTAGTATATTTATATGATGACTTTTTTGCATTAATTATATTTTTAATGATTCTAAAACAAAAAATTCAGAATAAATGTTGAGTTGAGATTTCAAACTATTAGAAATTTTCCATGTTTCCATGTTTCTCAGGTATTGAATCAAACCATATGAAATTGCCATTTTTGTAGGTCAAAACAGACTAACATCAGCTTCAAATGGTTGAACATGGTTCATTTCCCACCATTCTAAAATGGGTACTTCATACCTTTTCTTTCCCCTAAAACCTCCCATACGTCTTTTTCTATTTTTTCTCTCAGCTGATGACCTTTTATTTCATTGATCAAATGATCCTATCATTGGATCCTTATTTTTTCCACCATCAAAGCAACAAAATTACCCACACATGCACGTATCTTCTCTCTTTTTTGATGGAGAAAGTACCCCTTCTACCAAGGGATGACTTTCCCCCTCTAACCCTGTTCTCTTCTCTTCTCAAGGGTCAAAAGAATTGCGCCATGACTTTTTTCTCCACTCTGCTCTTGAATATTGTTTGTTTCTTTGATTATTGGCTTTGAGGTTTACTTCATTTGTTGTTTCTGCCCACTTCCTGATCTGGAAACTATTGGTCAATTTTTAATCCTTTTTTACTTTAATTTTTTTTTAAAAACTCATTTATTAAGTACTATGGAGAGAGAAATTATGGGAGGAAATTTCATATCTTTAGGCAAATGTTTCCCTCTCATTCACTCTTCAACCCATGATAATCTAGCCTTTGTCCCCACCACTCCTTATCTTCTCCTGTCAAAATCATTATCACATGTTGCCAATCTAAAGTACATCTCTGCTCATCTCACTTCATGTCTCAGTAACATTCAACGTGGTTGACCACTTCCTCTCTTGAAACCGTCTTCTCTGGGCTTCTGCAATCCACTATTTCCGGGTTTTCTCCTACTTTGCAGGCCTCTCATTCTCAGATTCCTTAACAGGCTGCTCTGCTTCCTCATTCTAATCCCTACCTGAATGAGCTGGTGCCCGTGAATTAAATATCATTTTTATGCTGATGACCCCCCAACTTATATCTCTACCCCAGATTTCTTTAAACTCCAGATTCATATTTTTGACTCTCTACTTGATAGCTCTACTAGGTTGTTTCACAGACATTTCAAACTCAACATGTCCTAAAGAAAACTCTGAATTTACCTATTTTTATAAATGATAACATCATCTAGCCACATACTCAAGTCAGAAGACTGAGAATTAGCCAATCCATTTTAAAGTGCTGCTGATTCTTTCTTCACAATTTATTCCTCTTTTTGTTCATCCCCACATCCACCACTTAAGTACAGGGTACTCACATTTCTAGCCTGGATTACTACCATCCAATTACTAACCTGGCCCAACCCTACTTAGTTTCCAAAATTGGACTAGACTAGGGATGTTCGAGGTGGTATAACATAGATGTTAGCCTAGATTACTGCACTAACTTCCTAACAGGTCCCTTCATCTCCATTTTGTCCTGCTCCAAATCATACTCTACCATGTATCAAAAATGATCTTCAAATATAAACTGAATCCTCTAGTCCTATCTCTACTTAAAAACTGTCAATGGCTTTCCATGCCAATGGAATTGGAATAAAATCCAAATCCCAAGGTCCTATGCCATTTCACAATTCCCTATCTCTCTAAACTTTTTCTTGAGCTATCCTCCAGTCCTTCTAGTTTTCTTTCTGTTCCTTGAACTCACCAGGGTCTTTCTAACCTCAAAGAACAAGTTGCTCTTTCTTCCTGAATGTCATTCTTCACATGGCTAACCCTTTCTTCCCTTTCCTTTCAGCTTAAATGTCACCTCCTCAGAGAGCCATTCCTTTGTACCACAAGGAGGGTTCCCCATTACTTTATTTGAGTTTATTTGCTTTTTATCTATCTTCTCTACTAAAACATAAGTTACATGAAGGCCAGCACCACATGTCTTGCTCATTATTGTATCCTTAGAATCAAGTATTCTGTGCAGTGTCCAGTATATGCTCAATAAATATTTGTTGACTTAATTAAGGTGCCATTTCTCATGCACATTTTAATAACATTATAAACTTTATAATACATTTTTCTAGATAACTCCTGAAAACAAATTCCTCCCTCATCCAAATTGAGTTTAAATGTCCTCTTACCTAAACTGAATCTGTCAAAAGCTTCCTGTCTATCCTTAGTGGTAACTGGCTGACCTTCCAAACTTTCCAGTGAACGGAGGTGGAAAATGGTAAACTGGAGATAGTGAGGAAGGGTCACAATTGGATTTTCAATTAGGATCAGAGAAGTCAAATCTTGAAGTGGTTTCAACTTGCTTACATCTTGGAGCTGAAATGATAAAACATTAGTATTGGTATAATTTAATTTAATAGTAATAAATATACCTAAGGGAAGTAATTAAGAAAAAAAAATTTTTTTTTGAGATAGAGTCTCACTTTGTCACCCTCGGTAGAGTGCTATGGCATCACAGCTCACAGCAACCTCCAACTCCTGGGCTTAGGTGATTCTCTAGCCTCAGCCTCCCGAGTAGCTGGGACTACAGGTGCCTGCCACAACGCCTGGCTATTTTGTTGTTGTTTTTGTTGCAGTTTTAGCAGGGGCTAGGTTTGAACCCACCCTCCTCCACCCTTAGTATATGGGGCTGGTGTCCTACCCACTGAGCACAGATGCCGCCTCGAGGAAATTTCTCTTAATATGACAAGGAATCCATCCATGAAACCAGTTACCAAAAAGTCATGGTATAAGGGGAGAGGCAGAAAGGGAGTATTTATAGTGTGTCAGGGTAGTATTATACATTTTCCATATAACATTTCATGTGTGCTTCCTCATAACAACCTAGGATCATCTTAATTTTACAGATGAAGAACTAAAGATCCAAAAAGTTAGGTGACTTGGCCCAAAGCTCAAAGCCCAGAAGTGAAGGAAACAAGATTTGAAGTCAAGTCTGTATAACTTTAAACCCATTGTCTTTTCATTATACTGATAGAACACATTTTAAAAAGGCTATAAAAAAGATTCTGACAAATCTTCAAATAATTAAGTTATAATTGATAATTAAAAGACATAAGGACATGTAGAAATACAATTTTAAAGCTTCTTATAGTATTCAAAGAGGGATTTAAAAAGGTTTAGAAACAGAATTCCAAATAACTAGTATAAATAAAACTTCCCTCCTAAATTAATATGCATTACTCTTAATGATGCCAGTGTCAAATAAAACCTAAGTTGAGAATATCAGATAAAATTAGAAATGTTTATTTATTTGAATGATTTTTATATTACTCAGGTGATACTAAGTACTACCTGAATCAGATCAAGTACTTTGAGAAATATTTGTAGCAAATTTTAGATTCATGGCTACCTCTGCCATCATCCCATAACTTCAAGAGCTCCAAGGTGATCTTGTACAACATGGTATGATGCTTGGGCTCTGAGGCTTTGGGGCTGTCATAGTAAAATGGTAGAGAATCACCTTACCACATCCTCATGAAAATGAAATTTAAAAAATGTTAATAATAAAGCATTAAATAGTGTAACTTATAATTATTGGCATCTGCTAGTGAAGGTTTAAGAAATACAGCCTTAGAGTTATTTACTGTTTTTAAGTTTTTAAAGCATTTTCACATCTATCATTTCATTTGAGCCACATAATACTGCTATAAAGGAAGCAGTATAGGAATTACTTTCTCTGATTTAAACAGTGAGTTTTAGAGGAATTAGGGAATTCTCCAAGGATATGGAAGGCAAATCTAGGCCCATAGTTGAAGTCATATTTTTTTTTTTTTTTTTTTTTTTTTTTT